TCAGTGAGAGGAGGGGGCTCTGGGGGCTCCGGGGGACGCTGGTCTGGAGGCAGGATCCGAGGGCGCTCCTGTTCCGGCGTTCGGTTCAGGACCCTCATCTCGGCCTGCCTAGCCAGGTCCTCTTGACCTATGAGATGAGAAATAAAAGCTTTGGAGTGAAAATATGCAGTAACAATACCGGAACAGAAAGGGCTCTTTCCTAGAACATCAGAGAGGTTCATTGCCTCAGTTCTCTTTAACTTCTCAGTTAAGTTTTACTCCTGGTCATTTTGGAGTAGGCAACAGCATGGTTGCTTTAAGAAAGTGATACGAGGTTCTCCTCATAGTAAGATTACCAAGCAATCAAAGTTTAAGAAAGAAAAGTGGTGCACATTCCTTTAACAAAAAAATCCTGAAGCAACAGATAAACACCTGAAAGTTCAAAGAGTGACCAGAAACATCTGCAAATGGCACATATCAGAAAAGGTCTTCATGGAAAGAAGATTCAGAGAACTGCAAAGGTTAAAAGCAAAATAAAAACAACCTTAACACCCCGCTGCACAAAACCCACTCCTAAGCCACTTCAGAACGTTTCTTTCAACAGCTGCACACTGCACACCTCAATAAACCACTATAGCTGAAATAGCAGTTCAAGATGACCAAAAACAGAGCTCTAAACATTAAGACAACTAAGAAAGTAGCCACTATAAGCCAATGGAAACATCCAGCCATGTGTGTTACTGACAAGTTATGGGCAGCCAGCTACAGAAACTGCACTAAGAAATTGATAATAGTGCTCTACTCAGCATTAAAAAAAAAAAAAAGCAAGCAAGCAAACAAACAAAAACAGCAACCTTCACCTCAAAAATGGACTTTAACTAAACACACAGTCAAAAGTGGTAAATTTGAGCTATGAATTCAATAGATGAGCCAGTCCTCTCCAACACCAGCACCACTAAGGAAAACTCAAGCTGCCATAAAAAACAATCAGTGCAACCAGTTTCATCAGAAGAAGTGCAGGTGCTGCACACCTGTCAGAAGGACCATTTTTTAAATCTGTCGGTATGGCACCTACTACAGTAAGACACAAAGTCCAGCCACGCATTTACATTCTCACCAAAAATCCCCAAACCAACCAACCTACAACAAAAAAGCCACAAACCCAGCAGCTAGTACTTGAACAGTCACAATGCAAACAAAGGAAGCAACCAAATCGACGTAATAACCTCTCCTGTACTCACACAGACTGGTAACGTTCAGAGGTTAACCCTTTACCCCCAAACTAGCTGCCTCCACAGCTCAAGATACCTGTTGCTTAGCAATGAAAGCCTTCAGTACCTGCAGGAGTATATAATGACTTGATCAGATGTGGGTAACCGGGCGCTGGAGATTCCATGTCGTCCCGGCTGAGAGATGCAGGCGTGGTGGGCTCTGGAGGCTGCCTGAGTTGTAACGACATTTCATTTCCTGATCCGTTTTCCTTCTCCTCCAACACCAAATCTTTTTGTTTTGTTTGCTGAGCCTTTATTAACTGAGACAGCAGAACAGCAAATGCACTCTGTACAGCTGCCTGGGCAGCGTCAGTTTCCACTTTGGGCTGACTCAGCTGAGCAGGTGGCACAGGAGGCTGCGTGACGGTCGGCTGTTTTAGGGACTCCTGTTCCGGCGGTGGCGGTGGAGGCGGCGGCGGCTGCTGCTGTTCTGACTGTTTTTCACCTGCTGACAAAATTCCAGCAGGAAGATTTATTTTATTTAGTTGCTGCTGAGTCTCTGGGTTTACCTTAATATTCAACACTTGGGCAAACTGTGCCAAACTAACACTTGTTTTAGACTGTAGGAGGTTTAGCAGGATTGCCACTTCATTCTGGTTTAACTGCTGTCCAGTGCTTGTTTTTGCTGAAGACAAAAAAGGTGTTTTTAAGAATTATACAGAATTTTCATATTTCAGAAACTCAAAATTAAGACTAATCTAACAAGGCTGTCACAACTGGCAAAGCGTGGTTTTGGACAACACAGAAACGGAATGCTTTTACGGAGAAACTGCCTTTGGGGGAGTATCTATAGGAAATGGAATATAAGATCCAATATAAAGAAAGTGACTTCCAAGGGGCACGCACATGCACTTGGACAGATGAGATACATCAAGCTGGAGCTCAATTTTCCACAATACAACTAAGCTGGGGCTTAAGGCCACCTGCTTTAGGCAGCTGTAAGATTTCCAATCCCCACAAAATTTCCTATCTTTGACATATCACATCCCTCTGTTAAAAAGTGGCCATCTGCAAAACGCATTTGCAGTCACATTCTGGCCTGTTCTAATTCAGCATCTGGATTCTAACACCTGCTCAATTGACCAGGCTGTAGATGACCCAGAAGCTAGCAGTATCAGCACAAGGAAGCAAAGCTGAGCTTGAAGGACACGTCAATCACTGAGTAGCAGGAAGACTCAGGTTTGTAAGGTACCCCCTTTTTTAAAAAACAAAAACAAAATGGTGTTTATTTGACATAAGTAAGAGGGTGCTGATGAAGGGGAAGGTAAGTAAGGAAGTCAGAATACAGAACTATTCTCTAAATTTCAAGCAGTCACTGTGTCAGTTCTTCTGAAAGGGGAAGTGAAGCAGCATGCCCCATAACTAGATGATTTAGAAAAGAAAGGTGAAAATTAAAATGGATGTGTTTTTCTCTGAATTTCTGTAACCCAGCTCAACGTGCACACATTCTGCCTTCCTGCTAATACACTAAGACACTCATTCCTGGCACATTCAAAGCCACACCTGAGAAAAACAGTCACACAAAAATTAAGTAGTTGCCTTGCAAGACTACCAAGTGCACAGCTGGAAAGTGCTGCAAAAGTCACAACCTACTTGTGGATGTACACCAGGATGCAAGCACCTGGATCCTACTCTGCCAGGTTCTAAGGACTTTAAAGATTTTATACGTCCAGATACAAAAATAAAACCATCTTCTATTTAGCAATAGATAAAAACCATTAACATTTAATGCCCTGCACTGCTGGATCTCAGCCAGCTGTCACGCTTCACAGTATTTGGTGACATCTGAGGATGGTATGCTCAGGAAGATAACATATTACATTCAAGCTTCTCTCAGCTTGTCAAGGTGCAAATTCAGCAGAAAGTGCCCCCAAGGGTAACTAACCTACCTGTTACACTCTTTGACTAGTTTCAAGTCTATTCCAAGCACAGACAACACTCTGGGAAACCTATCAGTTTCTACCAGAACAAAATGAACGAGCTGTACACAGCTCCTGTTAAATTATAAGATGTAATAACCAGGGTTCTCATTCATGAAGCAGAACATCAGCAATTTATCTATTTTTAACCTCTTTTTGGCACACACACACACAGACACAAAAAAAAGCAACAGTTTTGCTTAAAGCATGCATTTTCCATTTATACACCTGATCCTTTAGCATGCCTTATGGGTGACTTTAACTAAGGTTTATTAGGATTTCAAGAAGAGCTTCACTTAATACAGAAAACACCTATATGCTGAACTGTCTAAGCTCTTTTTGTCTTCTTCTTTTACACCTACATGTATTTTTCTCCCTGATTATGTGTAAGCAGTATCTCAGCTCTGAAAGATTTCCTTCTCTTTTTTTTTTTTTTTCTCCTTTTTAATAGTTTTCTTTTCTTTTTCTTTTTTTAATGTTTCATTTTAATGACTGATTACAGCAGGTGGCCAACAGGCTAACTGCTACAGAAGCACAAGGAAAACTGCTACTGTCCTCTGGGCTTTAAGCCTCAGTTTGCATTTGTGGGGAAAACACTGCGAGGGCTGCAGAAAGGCATCTTTGGAAATACTGCCAACACTGCTCAGAGTGGTAGAGTGGCAGAAGCTCACAGCCAGCTTATCAGCTCTTAGTAAGGAACAGGATGAATAGGAACAAGCAATAAACTGCAGTAAAAACACGATGAAAATAACAATGTGTACATGTTTAACATTTATCTTTGTGTACTACATTTGGAGCTCTGCTCCACTGTTAAATGAAGAGCTGATTCAAGATGGCTAATATTCAAGAACTACCATGCTCAGTGAATCCATTTATTGTTTTTCTTCAGATCAACACCTGTGTAAGTGTCATAGGATTTAAGGTCACTTGGCACAATTAAAAATGGCCTAAATTAAACTTACCAGGTATCTACTCAGTGCTGATCATCTCAGCTGGTTTCCACATAAGGAGACCACTACTTTACTACTCACATTATTCTTCACTACGTAAGCACACAAGCAAGACATTTCAGTTCAGTTTCTGAATTAAAGGCTGTGCAAGCTGCAGAGGTAGTTACTACTTTTTAATAAGATATTTGGGTGGTTGGTTTTTTTGTTTGTTTGTTTAGTTTCTTTTTTAAAGTTGAGTTAGCCCAAACAGCTTGGAAACACGAAGGCCAAAGTGACACACTGAGGTAATCTCTTCTATTTCAAGTGATGGCTGTTTTAAAGTCTGCCTTTTGTCAGTTCATCAGTATCTTCAACCTGTGAAGTCCATGATGAACTTAAGAGTACAAACTGACTAGTGGGATTACAGAAGATTTTTATCTCTTACAAGGGATAAAACCTCCTCAAAAATACAGAGCAAGATAGTTGCTCTGGCTAGATTAAAAAAAGAAAGAATAAAAAGGAATTCCCAAAAATAAAGGCAAATCTTTTGTAACAAAGATTTAACTTACAATACCGTTCCCTCCTTCAAGAATCCAGGAGACTCAAGAATCCAGTCAGTACTCTGAAAACAACACCTAAAATTTCTAGAGGTGCAATCCAAGTAGAAAGTAAATTTAAGAACCGAAAATATTACTGACCAAGTGCTACACTAGAGCTGCCCTGAGTTTTGAGTTGGGAAGAAGTTTGCATGCCTTGTGGGGTGTTGGTTCTGCTCTCATCCATGCCTAGAGACAGATCCTTCCTAGGGACTTTAGTTGCTGTTGCATCATCAGTCATGCCCATTTGCTTCTGTCTTCTGCGTTTTTTACTCCACAGCTCATGGCAATCCTGCCACAAAGGAAGGCTGCAAAGAACGATCAGAGATATCAGTTTTATCCCAGATTTTTAAAAAATGTTTCTTTAACTACAGTGGTAAAATAAATATTCAAATTACGCATAGCACAGCATTTGTAAAGATGAGCCTGCTGGAATTTAGAAATGCATCAGGAAACATCCAAAGTCAGGTAGGCTTTCCCGCATCAAGTCTCTTTTTCAATTGCCTACTTCACAAGTGCAGGTCTCTCTGGCAGAGAACAGGAACGTGCATCTTACTATGAGAATCACTGTCACTTTCTTGCTTGTAGAAGTACCACATCTGCGCAGTTACATTTGTTCACAGTAGCAGACATGGCTATCCAGTATGAGCAGCCATACAGCACAGGCAACCAAGAAAGGGGAAAAAAAATGTTGCAGGAATAAATAGTACTCAACACTAACAAATTTAGGTTGATAGGAAGAACAAGGGATACTCCAGCCCTTTAAGACAGACAAAAGCAGAGGAAAAATATCTTCTACAGCACTCATTGGAAATCAGTTCAATCTTCCCATTACTATTCCTCCCTACAGGTATCCCAATTCAGATCTCCTGAGGAACACAGAGTCCCACCCCATAGCTTATGGAAATACTGAGATATGGCATTAAAACAGGTCCTTCTGTTTTCCCTTTACGTATCAGTAGTAACTGTCTGAGCAGTTCTCTCACCCAGGAACATGAAAAAAAATGAGGTGACAGATGATAAGAATCACTGGAAAGGAAGTTTTGACAGTTGCTTTCTATTCTCTTTCTCCACAGAACAGCAGGTCAAAAGACCTGTCAGGTATTTAGTCAACAACAGCTTGGATCAATCAAGAAACTATAAGAATTATCCTACAGTACTTGCAATCAGCAATGAGCAGCTGTTTCTTCCAAGAGAGGAGCCTTATTCTTTCTTGAGAAGAGTCATCATTTTCATTTCACTACAACAAATGTTGGTGTCCATTTTTAAAAGGATACCAAAGGACAATTTGTTTGTTTGCTTTTAATTTTCTTGCATCAGTTTCTAGAATAGATGCACTACCAAGGCCCTGAAAAGAAGAGAACGTCTTCTTCTCATTCCCTAACTTCAAAATGCATTAGCAACAAGGTTCTGAGATTTTAATGAACAGCTTAATATTTAATACTGCTGTTTAGTAAAGTTCAGATGATGGAAAGAGACTCAGTCTTATGCATTCTTTACTACCTCCTATATGTTACAGGTAAGTCTTGAAAGATTTTTAATGAAATTCTTAGATAAAGCTGAACTATTTTTTTCCAGTTTGTAACTAATTATTAAGAAGTCAGCAAGGCTGCCTTGAAGGTACAATTTAGTCAAACTATTAAATGTTCTGTCATTAGGCAGCTATCTCAAGGGAAAAGTTAAACTTGCAGACTCTTTAAATGTTTTCCATTGTATTGGAATGAGCCCTGAGTAAAAGTTTGTAATGCCTAAAGTGACAATCAAGTCACTGTAAAAAAAAAAAAAGAACTACTGAACATTGCAATATATCTCTGTTCAGAGGAGAGAAAAGAACAAATAAAAAGCCACACAAAATATTTCACTTCTGGAGAACCAGGCATCTCATTTGGCACAGTAAATCAAGTATGGTATTTTACTTTAACTCTCAGATACCTTTAAAGAATTCTGTGCCTAATGTCATTCTGTCATTGTATGGGAACTGTAAGATCACAGCCTGAACCAGTGATTGAGCACCTGTTGAAGAAGCACGGCTAGCCCTGGGAGCACAGGTGGAAGCAAAATCCTGGGTCCACCCCTCCCTAACCTCATTTAAGGGCTGGCAGCTGAGAAAGAAACACCTCTGTTCAGATATTACTTCCTTATGGGAGTTTGCAGCAAGCTCTGGCCTTCAGAATGGGGTAAACTATTCTGTTCTTATTAGTGGCATTTGACTGATACGTTTCATGGGTCACTGTAAGACTTGTCAGAAGCAATTTCATACCTCTTTGCCTGAAAAAGCCACCAAAGAAGGTAATTCAGGATCATGAGGGGCCCCAAAACCCTTGGAAAACATGGACACTGATAAGCAGATACATTCCTTTTTAAAAAATGACAGTCACTAATTCCAGGAGCATCAGTTCAAACTCATCTCAGATCCTCACAGCCACTGATATCGTGACGTAAGAGCCACTAAACTGCACTTCAGTGCAGAATCACCAACTGTACATATTGACAATTTTCTTCCACAACAAGCTTCTTCAACGGAAACACAACGAGCTTAATGAACTCAGTACATGTTTGCTGCTGTTTTGTAGGTTAAAGAATATTACTAATGGAAATGACTTACTCTGGGGGAGGCATTTTAGATGGTTCCACATCTCGCAGAAACTCGCACTGAAGAGCTTGTTCAGCTGTGCAGCGCTTGCTGGGATCCAGAGCAAGCATGTAATCAAACAAATCTAATGCAGCTGGTGGGATGCTGCAAAAGAACACAGTGGGAAAAAGCATCACCTGTTTTCTGAATCACATACTTCAGTGCAAAGTTTTCATTAGAACAACTCTCCAGAATAACTGAACATCTAAAATGAAGAATTTACTTTTAAGAGGCAGATAACAAAGTTCATCTTTACCAACCTCTGTAAACATAGAAACCTAAGTGTCTTATGGGTTTGGTTTTTCTGTTTGTTTGTTTGTTTTTGCAGAGGTGGGGGTGACTGTGGGCAGTTGTGTTTCTGTATGTGGCTGACTTGATTGAAATACTGCTCTTAAAAAAAAAAAACAAAAAAACAAAGCAAAAACCCAACACAATTGAAGCCAAGACTATATAGTGTTACTTCACACTTTGGAATTTGGTGCACAAAGAGGTGCAATTTTGTATGGACCAAGCAAAACAACTCTACTGCTTTAGGAAAGCCTTGTTAGTTCAAGCAGGATGATATACTGATCCTAAACCCTGAAGCAGATGAAGGAAGGGAACAATCCCTTTAAATTGAATCTACAGCTGCTTTCCATAGCTTTCATGTGTGATATTTGCAAAAAAAAAAAAAAAAAAGATCCAATGGTACACAGTATTTTAGAATAGACTGTTCAGATAACTCTTGTGTTGAATGAATTTATGACCCAAAAGACTGTAACGTTAACCAGACTTCATATTTAGCTGTTCTCAGTTGTCCTAATAAAAAACAATTAAGTACTGCAAGCTGTTTTTTGGACAGGGAAAGCAAGCAGGTGTACCAATCACAGAAAACAAATGTGTCCTTAGGTGAAAGCTGACAGGTGGCTGAAATTTTAGGGCCTTCTTTCTCCCTTCTTGAAACTTTATTAAATAAGGGTTAATACAAGCTCTGCAGGAATCTTCTAGGATTCGAAAGCCATTTTTCTTTACACATGAGTGTTTTCTAGAAACTGGCTGAACATCCATTAAGTTCACAAAGATGCCAACAACACGTAATGCTGTTACAACTGAGTAAACTAATCCTTTGTCCTTACAATGCAAACTCTTCTCTCAGTTTTCGACGATACTGCTTCTTTGGTTTCATTGTGTTGAAATAAGCTAATTTTATAACATCAGGCCACACTGCTGGACAAGGGCTCCCACAGATTCGGCTGTACAAAAAGAGGAGGAAAGAAAGGCATGAGATCCAAAAGCACAAGTGTGCACAGCTGTCATTTCATTCTTAGAAGTACAGTAAATGCAAAACTCATTATCTAATGTTAACATTCAGTTCCATTTAGCTAAAATTTCTCTACAGAAAGGCCTGACACCATTAAGGAATGGTTAATTATCTAGGAAAGGTAACCACTCTTCACAAACTAAACTTCATAAAATCCACTATTTCTGTGCCCCAACCACTCTAAAGCATCTTCTGCACAAAAGGTTACATTCTGAAAGTCAACTAACTATGCCTGGACACCATTCATGTATTTGATCTGGAGAAGTGGATGACCCAGATCTAGGATGCTGGGCTGTTAGCTCCTAATTGCAGTGAAGAAAGAAATACCAAAGGCCTGAAGAAGTATTAACTTTAACAAGAATTTAGTTGACACAGAAGATGCTCTTGGAGGAAAAAAAAAACACAAAACAACCGACCCTTTAAGTCCTAGGGGTAAATACAAGCTTTTAGCAGCTCAATCTTGTTTATTTTTATCTTTACTTTTTCATTACAGTTATTAGTCTTCTGTGTAGGGCCTAATCTATTTCCATATATGGAACTGTCCTTAGCCTCGGTCCTCCCTCTCCATCCATGCCTGTTTTTTCCCATCAAGGATGGCAGCACAGCCTAACACCACGCTTCTCAGCAGGAGAATGGGAGTAATTTACCCTGCAATGTTTAAGACTTCTGATGAAGGCAGTCAATAAAAGAACTTGCTGAGGAAATGTATTTCCCTACTTCACCCTTCTCCATTCATTTGATTTAAATTGCTTGTGCAAGAGACCTAAGTATGAATTAATTACGTCCCTATGTTTGAAGTACATTACTTTCAGGAAGAAAATAAATTCTGTCTTTTTCCTAACAGAATTTACTTCAGTTCTATATTTGAGCATTAAAGCTAGAAAGAATAAAATGTACAACTGTTGACTGTAACATGACGGTTACAGAGATTGTGTATAAAATTATAAACTAAAACTGATATATTACACCTAAACAGTCTCCAAATGCATAGTACTGAATAAAATGGAGAGGAAAAATAGCTACAAGCAGCTGGCTGCCAGCATTCTTCCAGCAGAAAGAAATCTCAAAATCTGGATTTGCTGTACCAGGAGGTAAAATTTCTGATGCCTGCCCTCTCACTGCCATCTAGTGGACAAAAGCAAAGACTTCCAAAATCTACAACTTCGTTCTACCAAGAATGATGACTGGTAGTATTGCACCTCCTAAAAACTTTATTTCTCCTCATCAGCTAGTAAAATATTACACAGAAGCACACTGACATTTAATCTATCTCGAAAAACATTTCAGTATATAACTTACATTTTAAAATACTCTGATTTTAAAAATAATTTTACTATTTCCTCTTCTGGTGCTGTAAGTTCTACAGGACTCACCCTCCTTCCCCCTTGTTTTTAGGAAGAGGGTGTCTGCTCACTTATGAGGTCAGCTATGATATCAGAATCAAGAGCAATTTCTGCTTGCAAAATAAAGAGGAAAACAAGATGCACTGGTTCCATGGAGTTATATACAGGCCATCCTAAAATTTACTGACATAATGTAGTAAACAAAATATTCACCCCCATAAAGTATCTGGCAGTTTGTAAGGGAAGAGAAATATATGAAAAAAAGAAAGCCCAGGTGCACACGTGGGAAAACTCAATGCAAGATCTTAAGGCAAGCAGCATACAAAGCACCTACTGCTCCTAAACCTGCTGTCCTTACTGACCATGTTTTTTGATTTGCTATAAAGAATTTGTGATGCCATCTTGAAAAGGAATTACATTCTTTTACAACTTCAGTAATAGGAAAAGCTCCAGCTGCATTTTGAAACACTTCCCCACATCCACACATAAGACACTTATTCTACATGCCCCTGAAAACCACTGATATCTCACTCAGGATGATAATGAAGTACTTGTAATTGTCAGCAGTGTGTTACCTTTGTTTTTAATGTGAAAAAGATAGGCAGTTTACCAGGCACCTACAACACTGTAGTGCCTGCTAGTTACCTTATAAGTTCCAGCTGAGCAAGTTCTTGATTTGCTTGAAATATTGGCTTTTTTGTAAAAAGTTCACCCAGGATGCAGCTGTAAAACAGTTTCATACAATTTCATCATTATGGCTTCCAGTACAGACTGACAGAAATATGCACTGCTGGCTTGTTGTTGTGCTTGCTACACTTGTGTACCAAACTCTTACCCACAGCTCCAGACATCGATAGCTGGCGTGTATCTTTCTTCTCCAAGCAGAAGTTCAGGAGGCCGATACCATAACGTAATAACTTTGTTGGTATATGGTCGGCTGTTGGAGGGAGCAAAAAAAAAAGAGGACTATCATTTTGCTACAATCTCATTTCTGAAAAAAGTGATATTTTGAGGGGTATAATTCCATGGTGTTATTTAAGGACAGCGTTGCCTTCCTTCTTTTCAGTTCTACGAAGTTACAACTGCAAAAAAGCAACACATCCATCTGACCAAGGCTATTGAACAGTCTGAAACGAGACCTCAGAGATACACAAGTAATCAGCAAGCCATCTTGATGCTATGTGCATCCTGTATTTAGATAATCAAACAGTTCACTTTTCACACTGCTAGCCATTTCAGGAAAAAGATCTGCTTTGATAAAAAAGTGATTTCTCAATAACTGCTAATTATTAGAATACTGAAGACATGATTTCTACAAACATTTTAAAAATGGGAAAATCAGTCACTCTCCTCTCTGGAAAGAAAGAAACAAAGCCTTTCTCTCAAACTATGTCCTTCAACAACTTTGAATTCTAAGTCTGGACCATTTCTAATATATTCCTTTATTTCAACATTTTTAATTCTTTACAGCTCTAACCAGAAGTTCTGGTCATCGTGAATAATCCTTTCCATCCTCACACTAACACAAGGATTCCACTACTTCAGACATGCATTTTCTGTGCAGTGGCCAACACAGAGCATCAACAGTTCAGAACAGGAGTCATAGCAGATGGTAGGGTTGGGCTGTTTTCCACTTAGTTTTTGCTTTGTTTGCTTTGTAAAGAGGGGGGATGGGCCGGGACAACAGTAGGATGGTTCTTAAGAGTGGTAAAAAAAATCCTTCCAGTTTTAAGATCACGAGTTTACCAATACTAAGTAACTCCAAAGAAAAAAGCAGAGCAGCATTAAGTGCAGTGTTTTTACAAGCTCTTACAACGTGCTTAGCACTACAGGTATCATTTCTGCAAAATTGTCCCAGCTTTTTTCATAAAGCCCCCTATTTTTGGTTTACTAAAATTAACACAGTGTGGGTTTTTTTTTGGAAGTAGTTCCACCATATATTTATCTCTGAAGCAAACATCCACGTTCAAAATGTTTACATGGTATGGACTTCCTCTACAGATAAGCCACTCACATATATATATATTGGTATACTGTCATTCTTGTTTGAACAGCTGTTTTCTCACACAATCTGTCATAGCTCTACTCTAAACATATTAAAGCCTCCAAAATAACACTTAAAGAAGAAACTAGAATAACTGATAGGAATTCGGTTACAATTTTACTTCCTCTCCATCATGCTCCTACTAAACTCTGTAACCTTTTGAAAAGCGTGTCATTCCAACAACAGTAAAACAAGAGTAAAATACACAAACCTAATCATCACTTATATGTTTGTTGGTGTATTTCAAGTACTGACGTTACTGCAGGTCAGAAGCTATTCAGAAGGAAAATGAATGCCAAAAGAATTGCAAAAAATATACTCATGAGATTCTAATAATCTTCCCAAGCTCAATTAGCAATGTTATTAGCTACAGTAAGTACATTTTAGTCTTGTTTAATTTATCTATAATGAGGTAATGTTGTTTTCACATTCAGTAAAACGTTATTTGCATTATAAGGATGTTGAACTTCCACTCTTTCAATTCTTAACATTTAGTTCTATAACCAACATCTTAATTTAAAAAGATATTAAAGATAATGACAGTAAACCAACAAGAAGTCAGCCTGGGGAAGATTAAAGTAGCTAGGTAGGATGGCATCATCTCTTTAGTTATAAGTACATCCAAAATGAAAGTGAATTAGAACCACAGAATCAACAAGATTGGAAAAGACCTCCGAGATCATCCAGTCCAGCTGTCCACCAACCACCAATATTTCCCACTACACCGTGTCCCTTGGGACAACATCTGAACGCTGCTTGAACACCTCTAGGAACGGAAAGTCAACCACCTCCCTTGGCAGTCCATGCCAGCTTCTGATCACTCTTCCAGAGAAAAAAACATTCCTAACATCCAACCTGAACTTCCCTTGGCATAACTTGAGACCGTTCCCTCCAGTTCTACTGCTAACTGCCTACCAGCTGCTACAAATGATCTTACCCCAATACTGTACTCCAAACAGTTTCCCTAATTGTTACTTGAGCATACCTTCCTGAAATAACAGCTCAGAAGACAGTGAAAATAACACTGTTGCACTGAAGAACCTCAGAGGTCTGTGAGAAAATAAACTCAAAATTGATCATGCAGACACAGTTTCCCAAGTTGGGCACGCAGAACTCAAAGCTTAAGTACCTAACATTCTCAATATCCAGCCATCCGTCGTACATATCGATGTAATTAACATTCAACCTTGACTTTGAAAATCTCAGTCCAAGTAACAAATACATAACACCACAATATATATATTAAAATTCTTAATCATAAAGGCTGTGCACCTGTTTCCTGGAGTACAATTGTAACAGAGCCATCAACAACAGAAGCACAAGTCACAAGAGGTTTCAGAAGAGCTTTTATTTAAACTTGTATCTCTGTTTCCAACAGATGTAACAGCACTGACTGCCTAAAGAATACAATAAACCTCTTCAAATTTAAGATTAAATCTTACACAAAAGTAATGCTTAAAAAAAAAAAAAAAAAAAAAAAAGACAGTAAATGGATTGGATTTATGTCAGAATAAATGTCACTGTTCCTAAATAAACCTCTCCTAGGTACATCAACAGAAAAACACAGGTTTACAAGACCATAAACTAACATTTAGTAAATGTCTGCAGGATGTAACCTTATTAAAACTGCAACTCTTAATTCCAAACAATATACAGCTCCTCTCTACAGTTATTTACCCTCAATAGTCATAAGGGCAATCACTCGTACAAAGGGAGCTTTGTGTTTGTATGCTGTGTGAGATAACACGCATTCTTACAATTTCCTAAGCAATGCTACTTATCTTACAGTACAATAACATCTCCAGACAAATAAATAGTTTTTTTTTCCAGCCCTCACAACACTCAAGAGTTATGAAAGAAGACATACCTGTCAATGCTTATTCACAGTACAATCATATCTTACCTTTCTTCCGAGTTGTACAGCCGAGCAAGCCCAAAATCTGCAAGCTTTATCTGCCCTCTGGTGGGAAAAGGAAAGAATTATTTAGGAGTTCACCCTGCTAAAACTAGTTCAAGTTTCAGGTTTTCAGACAGCTGCAACTGAGCTTCAGGAAATGCCTTAGAAATCACATCTCTCTTCAATTAATAAATACACTAACCTACTCACTGCCAAAGAAAAGCAAGCAAAATTACATACAGTGACGAAGCGGAATTTACACCAGTGAATGCTACTCAAGATTTAGGGTGCATACTGTTAAAACATTCAAACCAACAACTCTGCAGGAAAAAAAACTGATGGAGGAAACTTCTTTATTTTTTGATGCTTTGATAGTTGAAGTACTGCTAGCATAAGGATTTGTACAGCTAAAACAACAACAACAAAAACCTAGCAGCAACCCTACTTCCTTCTAGCAAGTCTAAGCACTCTTTTGTTCTTCTGAAGCTTAAATATGGCCTTCAGAACAGGATAACCAACCAGATAAAGGCTTCTATTTTTGCCAGCAGCCAATTTGCTGAATGATACAAGCCCTAAGCCCTTGAGTTTTCCCATACACGAGAAGAAATGTGGATGATACAGAGTTTTGCCTGGCTTTCTTCATTTGCTTTTACCACAAACACTTTCACTACTCAATGAGAAACCCCTACATCCACAAAGCTGGGATGACTTAAACATAAAGCAATGTGCATACATGGAAAACACTTGGCAATGTTACATGGATTCTTTGTTTTGATTTGGTTTCCCTGTAATTATGAGCGACTTTCAAATAAATGAAAGTTTTGTCTATTTCAAATTACAGCAAGACTTGCAGATATGTGAGAGAATGACAGTTTTGTGATAACAAAATATACAGATTACAGTTTGTATTTCTTTTTTCCCCTCATCCATATGCCTGAAATTACTGTAACACTTCGTGGTGATGCTCCAAAAGCAATGTACTTTTATTCTTCAGATCCTGTATTTGTAGAATATCAAACAATTTTTTGAGTACAGATGTTTAACTTGCATAGCTAAAATACATAAAATCCATGTCTTTCACTTTCAGGCTGTAATGGTAACGGGACTTTAGAAGCACTGGCTTAAAACTATTCGAATCAACTATGTTTTTCTTCTTCAAGTGGAAATCTCTAAGATACTCACAAAACATCCTAGGGGAAAATACTGTTTATCCTAGAATCAAGGGAGCATGGTACAGCAGAAAGCACTGCCTCTACTGTAACGTGTCAAGTCATATCTCAGCTTCTGAGCTCACACACGTGCACAGTGTCAGCATCACCACTGGACTAACAGACAAGAAAGATGAGGTGAATGGGCAAGGTGAGCTATGTGGAGGCATGTGCACATCTGTTCGAGAGTCTGCATCAGAATCTTGCAAGGTTGGTGGCATCCAGAGCTGAAAACAGTCTAATATTAATTTAAAAAAAAAAAAAAGGACAAAAAAGGGAAATTCAATTTGGGCAAACCTGGGACAAAACCAGGGCCCTCCTAAATAAGATGTTTGAGCTTTATCTCCAACAACGGCATGAGCAGATTTTTAAGGTGAATGTGTGAGACTTCCCAGCTTTGAGGCTCACCTTCCTTCTACACAACCAGCACCCAGGATCTCTGAATTAGGGATCCCTGTCTAATGCTTTTAGCAGATTTTAATGACGTCCATAAACTTGTCTTGTCCTTTTCTGAATCTCATGATGCTACCCTGAAAGCTTCCTGAGTCAGCACATCCCAGAAGCTGACAACCTGCTCTGTACCGGTAAGAATACCTGTCAAATCTGTACCTTACTAGTTTTTACTGTTGCTCCCTAGTTCCAGTACAACTGGATGTAGTGAACTGGAGTTCTGTACTAAAGTTATCTGCTAGCTTCATCATTTTTCACACCACAATCATACACCTGCTTCAAAACAGAGTTTTTTGAATATTCCTCCTCCTACTCTTTAACCAGCTTTAGCTGTCCTCCGTGTACACTGCAATTCTATTTTGTCTCCTTTCAGATTCAGGTATAAGAATTCAAGACAGAGACAGAAGTTCTGCACAGTAAGAAAGCACTGTCTCACTCTCAGTATCCTTCCTAACAGTGAATTGCAGTTGTGACCTTAATTTTTGCTGCTGCACATTCAACAACAGCATGTTTACAAATATGGTTTTTTTTAAACCACTTGTGATTATAAATTCTTCTCTCCCTTTGATCGTGGCTGTAATTGCAAGCCAAAACATGATGGAAAATACCTAATCAAATATTGTTGTAAAGCATTATCCTGATTAATAAGAGTGAAGGCTTCTGAATTCTGGCACAAAGAAGCAGCCTATCCACACTTCATTTTGAAACGATGATAAAAAGAATACACAAACAGATCTCCTAAAAATCTCTGTTTTAATTCAACTCAGGTAACTTTTCCCCATCCTCTCACTTAATAGACACAAGTTTTAACCTTGCTATTTTAACATGCAAGTTTAAAAGAAAACTGCCAGATCCAGTATCAAGCAGAAATATTACCAGATTATTATTTTACAGTTAATTTCTAAATCAGCTAGGCAATCTATAAAAAAAACTTTGGCTCATGGATTAAAGCAGGTGAACTGTAAAGATTATAAAAAAATTTAAATATGATCCCAATGTACAACACTTACATACTAGAAGTGTTATTCATACCTGTTATTTAGTAGAATATTTGAACATTTTATATCTCTGTGCAAAAAGTTCTTCTTGTGGCAGTAGGCCAAACCCTCCATCAGCTGTCTCATAAATGATTTTATATGATTTTCGTTAAAATGAACCAAACCAGATTCCAGCAGTCCCATCAAATCATGGTCCATATATTCAAATACCAGATAGAATGCACCTAGAAAGGAGAAACAGGAAACAGAAGAGAGGCTGGTTTATCAGCAGTCCAAAAACACTGTTGCTCCCTACTTTTGAAAGTGGGAATTGTTTTCCACACAACTATTTACGTGTTTTTGCAACGTTTATAGTTGCACCTCATTTCCTATAATGGCAATAAAATAATGTAATGAAGTGTTTTCATAACATTGCTTTTCCATGGAAATAATTATTCCAGTCATTAAACGCTTGCGAAAACAAATAATTCTACAATGCAGTGCTTTATGTTACATAAACACAAGTTCTTCCTATGGCTACTCATCAAAAACATGCCACAAGGCAGAGATGCCAGCCACTAAATCAAGTGCCAGATCAGACTGCCCAGGGCCCCATCCGACCTGGCCTTAAACACCTTCAGGGATGGAGCATCCTCCCTGGGCAACCTGTTCCAGCACCTGAACACTCTCTCAGTACCTGGCCATACCTCACCTTAGCTCATCTTATTCCACAGATAAACCCATTAAAGCCACAGGCCTTTGATAAACACAAGTATTCCTAAAGAGGAAATGTTACATACACCTGATGCAGCAACAGACAACCTCCAGCACAATGTTATGTTTAGCACTGATTTTTTCCTGTTTTTAACTCTAGGGCAGAGACAATGCAGACCCTGCAGAGCACTGGGTGCAATGCAGAACCTACATTAGTGGGATCTGTCTATCTTCCACTTTCAAATATCTCCCCAAGAGATTTCAAAGCTACCACTTTACAGCGGAAGAAACTTCTGCCCAACAAGAACTCACTACGGTTCTAGCTTCCAAATGAGAACTTCCAGTTCAGAAGCTAGTTAATGTCCTGTAGCAGCAAGGGGAATTCAGCTTGCTAAGATATACATTCACAGCCAGATTTTGGCAAACTGATGTGCTTTCTTGCACAGTGGCTGAAAATGAAAGGGAAAAGTGCTATCAAGTTTAAATTGTGTCTAGTATTTAGTATTTAAACAAACAGGTAAAAATTACACATTAAGTGCAAAACTTGAGACAAAGATCAGTGAAAAGCAGCTAAACTATGGGCCACTGCCCAAGAGACTGAGGTTCATGGCTTTTAATCCATCTCTTCTTGTCCTGCTATGGACAGTAGGATGGAGGAAATAAGATACCATTCATAAAATACCCATTTGGGTGCACAGAGGAGGTGGAGCGGAAGATAAATCACTCAGATGCAACACAGTCCACCACTTCAATAAAACAAAGGAAAGAAAAGCATTGAGAGCCATACAACAACAGAAGCCTGCTGAGTTAGTATCTACCTAAACCATTCACCAGTGCAGCTCACCAGTTCTACGCAGCAAAGCACAGAGGGTCCTAATCTTGGCCTTTGAAAACTGGACAGCTAGCAACTGGTGTTAGTTCTGCTTGGCTGACATGTGATACTAATGCAGCAGTGCCAGAATAATCTACATGTCTCCTTCAGAAGATGTCAGCTCAACAAAACTGAATACCAACAGCCTACCCAGACCGAGTGCCTGTTCAGAAACGCCGAGGTTCAGGTCTCTGGCTGCAGGGAGTGCCTGAGCCTGTTGCTACCCTGGCAGGATGGTAGAGACACCACCTGCATGAGGTGTGAGAAGGTGGAAGATCTGCTCAGCCTGGTGGCAGAGCTCAAGAATGAGGTAGAGAGATTAAGGAGCATCAGGGAATGTGCGCAGGAGACAAGACTGATAGAGCAACTCCCTG